TGTTCAAGGGTGAGCCTTTCAAAGAGGTACTCGCCCAGCCAGCCTGGGGGCTCGCCAGCCTGCGGAGGTTGGTGAGGTGGTCACCTATCTTCTTGATGAGATTCACCTCCTCATCTAGGAAGTGGTTCTCCAGGAAATCACAGATACGGGGGTCGGTCTTGACAGAGCTCAAAGCATGAAGGTCCAGAAGAGCTCGGTTCAGGTTCTTCTCCAGGGCCAGGGCAGCTTCCATGGCATCCAAGGTTTTACCCCACTCATCTTCAGATGGTTTGTGCACGTCTTGAAAGAGTACACGGCCGCCGCGCCGGTTTTGCGTCTTCAGGAGATGCTCGGCTCCCTCGCATTTCTCCTTGGCCAGCTCAAGGAAGAAATGGCCCACGCCCTTCAGAGCCACATCATCTCGGTCAAAGTAGTAGCCCAGAGAGAGGTAGGTGTAGGAGGCCCGCAGGTGCAGGTTCACCAAGCGGTTTACAGCAGCCTCCACCTCGGTGGAATAATTCTGACGAATCTGAGAGGTCATGGCTGATCAGCAATAAGGGGCTACCCACAAAAGAGCAGTGTTGTCCGGTCCTGGAAGGAGGTGATAGGCAAGAAGATGGTCCTGAAACTTGTACCTGGAAGGTGGATGGGAAGATGAAAGAGGGAGTCCCCGGGTCTGTTCTGTCCAAACACTGTTGAAGCAAAAACAGATCCGCGGGACCTCCGGACGCGCCACTCGGACCTCCGGACGCGCCGCTCTATGATTTCAAATTAGAGATTGTGATGCTACCTAATCTTGCCTGTGTTGCCCAGAATTGCCTATGTCTGTTCTGGTTCCCCCAAAATTTTAAGATTGTTTTCTCTAGTTCTGTGACATATGCTGTTTGAAGTTTGACCAGAATTGCATGACATCTGTGTAACAGTTTCAGAAGTATGGACATTTTTGCTATATTAGTTGCTATATCAGCTCTTCCTACGCAAGAACAAGGGATATCTTTCCATTTTCTGATATCCACTTCAATCTCCTTTTTCAGAGATTTCTTTCTTTCTTTTTTCCTTCCTTCCTTCCTTCCTTCCTTCCTGCCTGCCTTCCTGCCTTCCTGCCTTCCTGCCTTCCTGCCTTCCTGCCTTCCTGCCTTCCTGCCTTCCTGCCTTCCTGCCTTCCTGCCTTCCTGCCTTCCTGCCTTTCTTCCTTCTTTTCTTTCTTTCTTGTTTTGTATTTAGGACAGGGTATATAGGGTGTACAGGGTCTCACTGTGTAGATTGGACTCATAGTGATCCTTCTGTTTATGGTCTCCCAAGTGCTGGGATTACAGGTGTGGTCACCATGCTCTGTCTCAATCATGGTCTCAGTGTACCCTGGCAGTAGGGCCAGCAAAGCAGGCCTGGGGATTGAACTCCCGGCCCCTGCATCTGCAGAGATTTCTCAGTGAGTTTGTTACTTGTGTACAGAAAGGCTATTGAGTTTTGAGTGTTGACTTTGTATTCATCTATGCTATTGAATTTGATTATTAAAGCTAGCAGCTTTTTAGTAGAGTTTTTGGGGTCTTCTATGTAAAATATTAGGTCATAATAATTAAATTCTTAATAATTTAATTTCTACCTTTGTTATCCTTACATTTTTTATTTCTTTCTCTTGTCTAATTGCTCTGACTAAAGTTTCCATGACGGTGTTGAATAAGAGAGGAGACTGTGGACATCTTTGTCTTGTTCCTTATTTTAGAGAGAAATATTTCAGTTTTTATTCATTTAGTGTGATGCTGGTTTTTGGTTTGTCATAGATGGCTTTTATCAGATTGAGGTATCACATCTTTTCTAATTTTTCATTGGGTTTGTATCATGAATGGGTGCTGGGCTTTGTCAAGTTTTATTATTTATTTATTTATTGGATACAGGGTCTTACAACGTAGTTTACTCATAGTGACCCTCCTGCTTCAGCCTCCCCAGTGCTGGGATTACCAGTGTGCACCAACTTGCACAGCATGTGGTATTGGGGTCGAACTCAGGTCCTTGTGCTTGCCAGGTAGGTTCTTAGACCACTGCGTTATCTCCCCAGCCCCCTGACTTTGTCAAATCTTTTTCTGCATCTATTGAGATGATCATATGATTTTTGTCCTTGGCTCCATTCATATAGTGCGTTACATTTATTGATTTACATATGTCGAACTATCCCTTCATCTCTGGGATGAATCCTACTTGGTCATAGTGTGCAATCTTCTTGATGATTTGCTGCATTCTGTCTGTCTGTACCTTATATTTGAGAATTTTTGCATCTATATTCATTAGAAAGAATGGCCTGTAATTTTCTTTCTTTGTTGGGTCCTTCTCCAGTCCTTCCATTTATTAAAGATGAATTAAATGTGTTTCTTGTATGCTGCTTATTGTTAGATCTTGTTTCTTAATCTACTCTGCCAATCTGTCTTTTGATTGATAATGCTTGCTTCCAGGAATGAATTTGAGAGTACTTCTTTTTCAATTTCATTAAAGAGTTGGAGAAGTAGTGGTATTAGGTCTTCTCTAAATTTTGTTTTGTAGAATTTAGCAGTGAGTCTATCAGGGCCTAGACTTTTCTTCGTTGGTAGATTTTTAAGTTCATCTTTGATTTCACTGATTGACATTGGTTTACTTATGATTTTTATGACTTCTTGATTCACCTTTGGTAATTTGTATGTATCTAGCAATCTGTCCATTCTTTCTGTATTTTCCATCTTATTAGAATACAATTTTTCAGTGTAGATGTAGAGGATTTTTTGCATTCCTGTAAGGTCCATTGTGATTTCAACTTTTTCTTTTTTAATTATGTAAATTTGAGTCTTTTCTTTTTTGATAAGGTTGGAAAAGGGTTTGTCAACTTTATTTAATGCTTAAAAGAACCAATTCTTCAACTTATTCATTCTTTTTTTTCAATCTGCAATGTGTTAATTTCTGCTTTCATCTTTATAAGTTTCTCCCTCATATGAACTTTTGGTTTAGCTTACTCTCTTTTGAGGTTCACCATTAAGTTGTTTATTTGTGCTTGCTTTGTTTTCTTGGTATGAGTTTTGACTGCTATAAATTTCCCTTAGAATTGCTTCCATTGTGTTCCATAGATTTCAGTATGTTGTATTATCATTATCATGTAATTGTAGAAACTGCCTAATTTCTTCTTTAACTTCGTCGGTTACCCATTGGTTGTTTAAGAGGATGCTATTTAATTTCCATGTGTTTATAAAGTTCTTGTGGCTTCTTTTGCCATTGATTTCCAATTTCGTTGCACTATTGTATGATGATATACACAGTATAATTTCAATTCCTTTGCATTTACCTAAGCTTGTTCTATCAGCTAGTGTGTGGTCTGTTTTGGAGAACATCCCATTTGCAACTGAGGAGAATGTGTATTCTGATGTTGTGTAGTGGAACATTCTTTAGACATGTACTAACTTAATTTATTCAAAACTTTGATTAAGTTACAATGTTTCATTGTTGATTTTTTTTGTCTAGATGAGTGACAGTGGGGGTACTGAGATCCCCCAATACAATTGTGTTAGTGATTATTTGATTATCCTGTCCATTAATATTTGTTTTATATAGTTGGGTACACTGGTATTTGTTGAAAATATACTTATGATTGTTATATCTTTCTCTTAGATTGTTGCCTTTATAAGGATATAGTAATCTTTTTATCTCTTTTATTCAGTCATGGTTTGAAATTGACTTTGTATGCAAATAGAATAATTAATCCTACTTTTTTCTGGGTTCCAGTCACATGGAGTATTATTTTCCATCCATTGACTTTCAGTCTATGAATTAATTTTTGAATTAAATGTGTTTCTTGTATGCTGCCTATTGTTAAATCTTGTTTCTTAATCTACTCTGCCAATCTTTGTCTTTTCATTGATGAACTGAGGCCATTAACATTAATGGTTATATAACTGATATATATTGACTTATCATTGCCCCCTGGGTTTGCTTTTGGTGAACTGGATGTCTGAGGTTGCATCTTGTTTAAGTGTCTTCTTGTTTTCTTGTCATTTTCAATTTAATTCCTGGAGTGATGTTTGTAAATTGCCTTTAGCATGTTGTTTTATTGCTAGTATTTAGAACCCTTAGAAAATGACTACTTCTGTGAGATTTCATGTAGGTGTAACTGTTATTTTGGGTTTAAGTCTGTTGCAATCTCCTATGTCTTCCATTTATTAAAAATCAAAAGTTGCTGCCTATTTGGCCCAGTCCCTGGTTATTTGGCAGTGTTACAGTATTTTCTATGACCCTTAATCATTTTCAGTCTTCGATTAGTAGGAATAATAGCTATTTAGAACAATTATGTCATTTTTGGCCAAAGGGATAACCATTAGCAATAACAATAACAACAATCATGGCCTAAGAAAACGCCAAACCAAGGTAACCATAAATTTACCACCTTTATTGTTTGAACTAGATTTGTAGTTATAAAACAAACTTAACAAAATTATAAGAAGTATATAAATCCTTAATATTTCAATTTTACTTTCAAGTGTTAAGAGTTCAAAGGAGTGAGAAAAAATAGAGGGGTAGACAAAGAGGAAGAGATTAGAAATAAGTCTAGAAAAGAAAGGGAGAATCACAGTAACCTTAGGAAAGTGGTGCAGAAGACTTGGAGGGAAAGAGAAAAGGAAGTGATTAAAAGAACAGAACTACCATCGCATTGGATACTCTATTATCTTCCCAATAAATTCTCTGTCTGTTGAGCTGGGTTCAAATTTGTTGCTGACACATCTCATCCTAAGACTATGTGTTCTCTTTCTTTTGAAACAGTTCTTACATTTAAAAAAAAATCTCTCACATAATTAATGGTTTGCTAGAGTTTTCTGGTTTCTAAAATACTATTTAGGAAAATATAAGTTACCAAATTTATTTTATTGATCATTTTAATTTTTTAAACAGAATTCTACTGACTACTATCTTATTTAAAAGAAACTTATTTGTTATTGTGAAAAATCACAAATAAATTTCCAAAGTCTTTTTGCAGAATTTTGTGGAATAAAATAAGCATACCATTAGAAATACCATATTTCAAAGGCATGTTATAAAACATTGCTTTAATGTGACAAAAGAGTATTAGAAATTAGAGAGTTCCAAATCCATTAGTTATTTTTCCTATAGAAATATCAACAGTAAATGTTTATTTATTTTTATTTCTGCAGTCATATTTTGTTAATGCAAATTAAAAATAAAAAAGTGACAGAAACAAATTAAAATGCATCCTTTCTTACCCTCATATCCTCACAGTTGGAGACTCCCATTCTCCTGAAGTCACTTTTGAACTTGTCCTAAAACTTTTGCTTGTAGCATAGTTTATGAGTCAACAGTAAAGAAGCACCATAGGATGGGACATAAGTATGCTTTCTTATGATAATAGAACAGCTACTTAAGGATGCCAAATCTTTGTATTTTTCAAACTATCAGTTCTTAAACTATGAACCTATAGTGGTCTTATGATGTATGTCAGTCAGCTTCAGCTGCATAACAAACTACTTCAATATGTAAAAAAATAAGTATAATTTTGTGGGTTTGCAATTTTAGGCTGGATTTAGCTGGGAAGTTCCTTTGGTTTGAATTGGG